TCCTTTTCTGAAAAAAAAACTTTTTCCAGTTGTTGACCTTTTGCGATTTTTCGCGTTTGTCCAAGGCACTCTACGTCAATGGGGAAACTGGTCGTTCAGCGCGACGACCCCTTCAGTTCAGAATCCAACTTTGATTACTTTCGTACCTCTCTTTATCCCAGTTTTCCAGAAAACCCGTGCACCATTAGGGTGTGTACAACCCCAGAAATGGCAAAGTCTATCCCTTATAAAGATTTCCAAATCTTCGGATTAACATCGACCCCTCTCAGCAAGCCAAACACGATTCCCTCTCTAGAGTAACTCGAATATGGGACCCTTGTTCGAGACTTCTCAACCATGCAAAGCTCTGAAATAAAGGTGACAGCCCCATAGGACGTGCTTATCAGCAGTAGCGGAATTTTAAAGATTTTTCTGTGTATTCAATACACAGTTTATGGTGGTCCAGGGGGCGGAGGCAGTCAACAATTATCCGTGTTTGCTTGAGACGTCCACCCCCCCACCCCTCTCGAGTGCGCCTTTAAAAATGCTGAAGGAGAGGTGTATACCAACCGAAAAGACGCAATAGATGTCCTTCTCCGCCCATACGAGCAACCTGGATTGTACCTTTGAGTACAACACTTGATTTCCTATTCTAACCTTGTTCAGTTTCGGTGACATTTGGCTCTCCCCCACTCCTAAAGCAGTTTACTCCTGGCAAGCTGTTTCTTTTACGCCACCCCCTCCCCCTGCTGGTCATAGTTTTTGCCTAACGGTTATGCTCAAGAGCTATTTCTCCTCTAAAAAAACTTGATTTAAGATCTACCATCAATACTGTCTTGAACGAGCTGCATGCCATTCTGCTCACATTTTCACCACCGTGTCGGAAATTACTGGGTTAGAAGCTGAGTATTTATTGGACAGAAAACCTGATATTCTAACTCCTAATGGCCTCAATGTTGTCAAGTTTGCTGCTTTACACGAGTTCCAGGTACGTAGTCACTTTACAGAACGACTAATTTTTTATTCCTACTTTTTTCTTTTATGTTTTTTTTACTTTTATATTTTTTCATGAAAAACAGCGTGAAATTCAGAATTTGCACTCTATGGCCAAAGAGAAAATCCACAACTTCATTCGAGGGCACTTCCATGGTCATTTAGATTTTGATTTGGACAAAACGCTTTATTTATTTACTGCAGGAAGGTCAGTGATTGGTTGATCCTTTTTGATTTGTATTCCAGTATTTTGGGTACCTTTTCGCTGCAAAAATAACTATCGGTTGTGGGGGAGGGGGTGCAAGGTAGTGGAGCGCAACTGCACTACTATAGTCTTCATCGCTGCGGATGCTGGGGCGTGTCAGAGGGCTGGGTTTCGAGCGGCGCCAACCTGTTACGCACCAATTGTTGAAGCAGACAAGCGATAGGTTTTTTCGTGATTCCTTTCACTTCACTGAGAATACGTAGTATCGATGCCGGTGCTCTTCAATTAAAAGGCCCTGGCCGAAAGTTCAAGGGGCCCTGCCGAAAAGTTCAATCAGAAAATAGTAAGCAATATTTCTTGGAAGCTAAAAATGGTCCGTTTTTGCCGCCGGCTTTGACCTCTAGCCGCCGGTATTTTGCCAACCCCAAGTCAGTACTTTTATCTCCCACATGACACCAATTTCGATGCCATTTAGATCACTCCACAGGCGAAAAAAAATTTGACTAGCTCGTGCCCAAGCCAAAAGGGATTTGCCGCGCCTTTTGGCAGTGCACCAGCTCCACTGGGAAGTGCCGCTTTCTATCACAGAACGCTGTTCGGTCAGGTCAGCCCCCTAGCTTGTGAGAGAACACAGGAGATTGATCGTTTGTCAGTTTTTTTTCCTTTGTCCGTTCATATACTAAGTGTGATGGCATCACCCATAACCATCCTCAACCAATCCATCTTCTTCTTTTTTCTGGTTGTCGACAAGAAACCATTGCCCTTTGCAGTTTTCCGACTTTATTAGCTGATCCACCCAGTTTACCTAGGTTCTCCCCCTACTCAGCGGAGCTTAATTAATCACATTTTGAAGTACTGCAGACATAAAAGGCTTTAAAAGGCGGCAGTCCCGGTAACTGACGAAGTTTAGCTTTATGGCGCTTTCTGGTTTCCTATGTTTTTCTCCAGCAATCAGTGAGTGGTTACTGACCAAAAGATCAAGAAAACTGACCAAAACAACTTTTCGTCACAAATCGAGAAAGAAGCTGTGCAGCTATAGTTGAACAGTACATCCAAGAAGTTCCGAGGGAATCCAATAATCAGAGGTAAAGAAGTGACAAATGTCACCGCTGACCACGGTATGCTGGGGTCACATCCCGGGAGGACCCGGTGTTCCGTGTATTATATAGGATGTGGTTATAATATAAGCCCAATTAAGCAAGCCATTTTCGAGTGAGGATAGCGGAAGGGTAGGGGAACACCCTGGGAAATTGATTGGGAGCAGACAGACTTTTACAAATCTGTGTCGGTTTCTCCTTTAACTTGTCTGAGCAATGTCGATCACATTGCCGGATGGATCCCAGTTCGCCATCCGTTAGAGTTGGCGGATTGGAAAATGATGATCGCTTTTAACGTCAGGTGCCCCTCAGTGACTTTAAGCCACTCCCCTGACAATGATTAATTTGAAGTCCAGTATTGCCAAAAGGGCCATCATCTTTGAATTATTCTCGACAGGGCTGTCGCCAATGATTCGTTGGGGGTCGTATTTGGCTTGCTGGGTGGGGACCGCATAAATGTGGAAGATAGCGGAGATCATGATAGAGGATGTGTTCTCAACCTCTCCACCTCCTGCTTCCGGCCCCGTCGACAAGTTATTCTCAGGAAATTGTTAGTAAAGGAGCTAAGGCAGCGTTCAGACTTCACGATGGCAGCGCTTTGGTCGCGCGATTCGACGATCGATGCGCATGCTTTTGGCTGCATCGATCGCGTCGAACGCGCGACCGAAGCGTTGCCGTCGCGAAGTCTGAACGCTGCCTAAGAAGGTGCACAATAATGGACTTCTGGGTCTGAAAGAATCGTATTTGAAGTGATAGGGGTGAGTCCTGCTGAGCGATTAGTTATCACTGTAGCTATGACGTGTCCTTATTGTGGGAGCAGAAAATGAAGCGCACCGTCCGTCAAAGTTTGAATCAGAAGCTATTAAACGAAGATTTTAAAACATAAATGAAGCGTAATGTCTCCATAGGAGTGACAACATATATAGGCTGATTTAGGCAAGCTGAGAGGGTAGAAAGAGGTCTGATGGTGAAGTGGTTAGGCACACTAGCCTGGTAGGCGTGAGGTGGGCGTTCAATTCCTGAGTGGAGTCGAGTCATTAGGACTGAGCAGTCTGCAGATGACCTCCCGACGTGAACTGCGCCGCAAATGGCCGGTATCGTATTAAACCGTCAAGATGCAGTCGTTTTGCCTGCCCACGCTGGAGGGTTCAGGGGGGAGCTGAGATTGGGTGGCGTCACGCCCGCTCTTCGCCAAGTTGTTGAAGCGTGCATTATATTAATCGGGGGAAAATGGGCTGGTGCTACGTCAAACCTAGATGCCTGACACAGACGGTCTGCAACCTCAAATCGGGGCCGCGCGGAGTCAACAAATTCTCAATAAGGCTAAGACTGAGTTCAATGAGACTAAGCTGAATTAACCGATTTCCTTTTACAGGTATGAGTTCTCTAATAAAGGAGGCGACCTATTCATTGAATCGCTTGCTCGTCTTAACCATTACCTCCAAACTACCACAGATCCTCGACACAAAGGAGTCACAGTGGTTGCCTTTATAATCTACCCAGGTATCCTTGCTATCTATACGATTTTCCTCTTCCTGTTCCTGATTTCTTTTGATTTTAGCACCCTCAAATTCCTTCAACGTGGAATCGCTGAAAGGACAAGCCGTAACAAAGCAGCTGAAGGAAGCAGTCGACAGGATAAAGGTGCATATTATTGAGAAGTTTTTCTGCGTGGTCTACCGTAACCCAGATAAATTTCAGGAAAGCATCGGACAACGGATGTTCGATATCTGTTTACAAGGCCACCTTCCTGATGGGCATGATCTTCTTTCGCCGGCTGATAACGTTTTGGTAAGTTAATTCCCTGCGTATATGGCCGTATTTGTCCCTTTCATTTGGGGGGGAGGGGGGGGGGTGAAATCTCACAGGAATTCATTTCGCTCTCCTGCTGAGCTTTTCTAAGTAG